GATTTTCTGAAAGTAATTATAATCTAGTAACAATATATGTATGGAGAATGACTATCCTATTTCTAGTATTTCACGAATACAACATTTTTATGTATATTTGGTCATCACCTTTAAGTGTTGCTTGATTAGCATTTTGACTTCTGTACATTTTTAAGTTATATTCAAATGTTCTTCTTGATAAATCCTTAAAGACTGAAACATACGAAAAAATTGATTCTCAGAGACATATTCCTATCTGGTCAACTATATAACCCTGTAAATTATTAATTGTGATGACAAAGGCAGTGAATTTTATTATGAATTTCGGGGCCTTCTCTTTGGACTGTCTTCCTGGTTTTGGCTTTTTTTAGTCATTGAAATGTGCTGCGGGTTATTATAGAGTTGTAGCCGAGGATTCCGATTGAACAAAATTTGGTGATGTTGCGTCAATGTGTCTCTTTGACAACCAAGCAAACGTAATGAAGTATTTCAACCAATGATTATGATTTTACGAACAGCTTGAGCTTACAGTTCAACCACATGATATTATTGTAATATTGTTCTATTGTCAGCGGGTTCTTTTGAATTATCTGGAGAAACTAATTCAACGTTCAGTCCACGTAACAATACAAAATTTTGTTTCTTCCCTAACGTTTCTTTACAGACTTGCACACTTTGTAAATTGTTGTAGGCCTACATTTACAGTCACGCTTTCTGCTGTACACTAATGTAAAACAAAATCATCTTATTTGTACAAAGTAGCTCAATATGCTCCATAGCAACACAGATCCAAATACGTAAACACACTGATTAATTCACTCAAGCAGCTGGAAAACAACTATCTATCTTTTTGATATGTCACTAACTGGTTCAACTGTATTTATAATGTAATCCATGTTCTAGATATTTCGCAAAGTATCTCGTTCATTAATACTCCCGAATATTCAGGGAATAACTTTATCATACATTAATTCGCCCTCTAGCTTATGACAATATTTTTGACGTAGGTTCAGCAAAAAGACGGGAATCTCAGAATTTCTAAGCACGTGACTTACTATAGTTTAATATTACACAAATATACTTCTTGAATATACTGCTTAAATAATGAAATAAAACTCAGTTTTAAAACTTTAAATATGTTTTCTTTTGTCACATTTCTCTCTTTTTGACAAATATTATACGGAGCCCTCTTGATATTCCTTACTGTCTTCGTCAGATCTCTGAGTTTATCTTTCTATTTTTCTTTGAAAAATGTAATTCCTTTTCAATGTTGTTTTCTCTACACCAGATGAAAAACACAACAACAGGGAAAGTTGGAATTTCAAAGAACGACAGTTCAAATAAGGTTTGTGATCGGATTCTTGTCGAGATAACAAACCAGGAGCACAACCAGATATCGCTGCTCTGTCGGAAAGACCACGATTTCGTCTTTTGAAGTACAAACGCTATAGCTTTAAATTTATTCGGAAATCCCCCTGGCGATTAAGTTTATCAACTTTCGATGATTTACACTATCACTTCCGGAGTAATTATATTTTCTCTGGTAATTGTAAAACTTTTGTAATTCTGAAAACTTTTAGTTTCACGTTCTTTCAGTTTCCTGGTTACATAAGACGAAACACACGCACACAAAGAATCGTCTTTGAAAATTTTTAAATTGTGAATGAGTTTTTCTTTTATATCTGACATCATTTATTTTAAGTTTCATTTTAAAATTGTTTA